CTAGCCCCCTAACTGAATGACGCGACAGTGACCAGCTCCCTACCCGAGGTGGACTCCATTTTAGAAAACCACTAAGAACACAATACAAGGAATTTTCTGTAAAAATACCTACGGGGTTACTACACCGACGAAATGCTACCGGAAAATCAGGGAACAAAGAGCTTTGACGCTGGAAAACTTTAGCTTTGGAAGAAAAATTAGATTGCTAAAGGTAGAAACTCTAAGACAATGAGGGGCTCTCGCCTTTTATAAAGGGCTAGGACGAACCCCAACCGTCTGATCAAAGCCCATCCAATTTGAACCCTTCATTTTTAATCACATCCGAGGCGTAGAATTCAAACGGTTTTTCAAACCTACACTTCAGATTTAAGCATGTCCCCCACGTACCTCCTCCAACGCGTCTTTTTCTAGAAGCTCCAACTGTTCTCATGATTACGGTTTTAATTCACCGATAGCATGCACCTTGGAAGTTGTAATGGTTCAGCCACTTTTCTTTGAAAATATGTGCAAAACATCAAATCATTTGCACAACTGCCGAGGAACAGCTGTCGAGGAACAATTATTGTCAAGGTACCTCAGAATTCAGCCATCAAGCCTCGTAGGTTCGGTTTCTCAACCACCTCAACTTCTTCATCATAATTCTGTCATCTAGCCTCCTAGGTTCGATTTCTCAAACACCTTGGCTTCTTCATCATAATTCAGCCATCAAACCTCGTAGGTTCAGATCCTCAACCACCTCGGCTTCATCATCATACTTCAACCTTCAAGCCTCGCAGATTTGGTTTTCCCAACCACCTCGACTTCATCATTCTCATCACTTCTCAAACAGCAGCAAATCTCTAACTCCAAAAATGATATAAATATCTATACTTAGACTTGAGGGACTATTATTTGGGGTAAAAAAAATTCAAAAATTTCTTTCAATTTAATTGGCTGGCTTTACTTCATCAAAGTCCTCGCATTACATAAATGACTATACTTGGACTTGGAGGACTATTGTTACGTGCTCTCACACTTGGGCAACCCACCGGTGCCCACAACTAACTCATGCCGAACCACATGACACTCAATTCGAGGTGATTTGCATAGCTGAGGCCCACAAACCGAGGCCCATTTATCATTGCCTCATGAGGAGCTTCCGAAACCCATATGCTGAGGTCCTTTGAAGATGGACGAGGCCCTGTTTGTCGAAGCTCCTTAGCTGAGGCGACATCATTTAAAGCACAAAGCAACATCTTATATAGACACCTCTCACAAGGGATCTTCTGCACAAAGATCTTACTTGAATGATTGATTAGACATTTATTGTGAGTGTAAATGTTAAGTCTTGTCCCTAGTAGAGGCAGCTCTGCCAATCAATAAATGTATAACAGGCTATGTGCGGCTGATGCCTACAATTTAACATGTAACTCAACCGGATGAGGCCACGTGTATCCCAAACCAAAGGTCACGATCTAACTAGTAGCACTATAAATATTTCCCCATGTACCCCATACAGAGGCTAATGCAAGAATCAATACAAGAAACCACACTTTACTCCCTCTTTCTTATTATCTTGTAACACAATACGAATTTAGGCATATTTACACACACATTTACAAACATCGATTGGTAATTATTGTACAATCGGTTTACGATCATCTCATCGGATTTCGAACGTTCTCGTCCCGTGTCGTTGAACTACTCCTACATCCTTGATCTGTCATTTTTAGACTGTTCACGTGTCTTTGCGTATTGGACTTTCACTTACGTGAGCGCGGGTAGGTCCGGTATCTGTTGGCAACATTTATTGGAGTCAACAGATCATATAAAATGTGTAATCAAGATTGAAATTTGACCTTTGAAAAATTGATAAAACTTCGATAAAAAATAAAAGAAAGAATGAAATTATCACACAGAAAATGAAAAAAAAAAAAAAGCATATGAGTGCATATCACCACCTTAGTGCATCTTAGTAGTTGATAAGCGTAATGGCTTCGAACTAAAGAAAGGTACAAGTTGGGTTGGCATGGGGAGGGGTGACTGTCAAACACTCGTTCCCCAAGAATGCAACAACCTATCAATTTTTTATTTCTTGCTCAATAATATGGGGCACAATGAAGGTATTTAATGTATTTGAGGAAAACATTGTAATGGATATTCCCACTTATTCGAATCCATTTTCATCTAATCAAGCAATCAAATTTAGTCACTAATTAATAATTAATATTAACTAAAATAGTATCGCCTCCTCGTTTTCTGTTATCACATGTTATTCCACTCCTTAAAATAGAAAGATGTGATCGGTAGGCGAAAAAGTTGAATGATTGAAATTTGTCATTAGATTAATTGAAAATTTGAAGAAAGTTGCACTCCAATTTGCTGACAATGTTCACAAACGAAGTTTAGTTGCAAAGATTTGGCATAAATTGTGGAGAAATGCCATATGTACAGAAATATTTGACAGATTATCAACCGGCAAGATTTAAGTGGACGTTGAATAGAAACAAAGTTAAACCAACCAATGCAATATTGTCACGTCATCATTTATAATATTTTTTGTACATTTCATCAGTGTAGGAGCTTAATTCTAAATTGAGTCCCAATTTTATGAGGATTAAAATCAAATTTGATAAAAATTAATGAAATATGTAGTTGAAAAGTTATGAATTTCAAGAAATATATGACTAAAATTAATTGTGGAGTTTAACTTAAACAAAAATCACGATTTTAATCCCCACAAAAAAGGGCTCAAGATGTTGTCAAGAATTTTAACCAGTTATATGTGAAAGTTGGGGATTTATATACAAAATAATAATAATAATAATAATAATAATAATAATAATAATAATAATAATAATGAAAGTAGGTGTTACTTGCTGCATATAAATTGGGGATTCACAATGATAATATTTTTCTTTTAAATTATATCCCTGTTTGGTGTGAAATAAAATCAAATTTTTAATAAATTTTAATAAAAGTTGATGAAATATGTGGTTGAAAAGAAATATATATATATGTACAAAAAGCCTAAACCAAATCATTTAAAATATTTTCAATTTTCTCAAACATAAAACCTAACAGTTTGGTCCAATATTAAACTACAACCTAACCCTATATTTTTTTCTCGACTGTAAATTTAAATAGCCAACACAATAGACTTTTCGGTTCTCGATGTTTGCAACGTGAAGATTGAAGATGAAGGTAGTTTTGACTTTGATGTAAGGCCATCTACTTTGATGGATTGATTAGTATGAAGGTCATTAAATTAGGATAATTAATTAATTAATTAGTGGTATTTGATAATGGAGAACGGACAAATATATTCATTATTGTATTAAAAGATATAACTATTGTGTCAAAAGTTTGATAGTTTGCTTATATATTGGAGGTTCGGATCATAATTTATCATTCTAATTAATAGTCCTATTTAAAGTTGATCATTTTAATCATTTTATTTTTATTTCCATACACTTTAGTTTGAACTCAGATCGTCGTTAAAATTTCAAAACCTAAACCTAATTGTTTTAGAATTGTTCGGTTTAGTTCATTATTGTTTAGTTGATGGGTACATATGGAACCAAATGAGCGTATTCAAAAAGGTGTTTCGATTTGATTTTCCAATTTGTTGAATTTTGCTTACAGACCCAATAACAATAAGTGACGGAATATAACAAACTAGTAAAAATTAAAATAAAATCGAAAATTCAATAATCTAGTTAAGAATATTTAAAATTTAATGCCCCTATTGAAATTTTGTTGGAAGTTCAATGACATGAATGAAAATTCCCCATAAAGTTTGAACAATGTTATTCATAGTGAAAATCGTCAATAGTGATTCTACATGATATATAATTATTTAATCACCAGTAATTTTCATTATAAATAGTGTTAGGAAAATGTTGTAATTGGCAATCTGTGACTAAAAGGACTAATTTGTCGAGTTTGTAAAGTCAAGGACCAATCTATCAATGTCTAAAAGTTCAGGGACTTGTGTTGCAATTTCGCAATAATTAATGTATAAGTCTAGGGTAAAGTTGGATGCTTTGAAGATGAAAACGACGCAAGATTGGTGCTAGAGTTTCGCCCTGACCTCACTTGAGCCTAAATAACAGAACCTGCGTCGCTGGAGTTTCGCCACCACTTCGCTCGAGCGAGAGTGCGTCGCTAGAATTTTACCGGCACTTCGCTCGAGCGACAGTGTCATCCGACATTTGGTAATTTTCCTTCCTCGCGAATTTTAAACACTCCATACTACCAAAAATGACCTACTATATAAACAAAAATTTCGTTTTTCATTAACAACCTTTGGCAAAACACATAGCACAATATTTTCCTCTCTACCAAAGGATCAATTGGAAAACTCTTCACCATATGATTCATTGAAGAAAAAAATATCAAACACCTTTTTCAAACAAAACACCTATCAAAAATCCTTACTACTTCCAGAAGATCAGTTGATTGAAGATCCGGGAAGGAGGTTGATTGAAGAACTGGAGTTCTTGTTGATTCACGGGAAATAGAAGAAATACAAGGCTGGGATTTTGGCGCAGATCTGCAGAATCGAGGAGAGCTTTGGTTGATACAGTAAGGAGGTCAGAGTGTTGTTAGATACAGTCATGTCTGGCGTACTGTAAGTTGGAGTCTTCTATGGTGAATCCCTACTGGCTTGTGCCCGGAGTTTTTACCCAGTTGGGTTTTCTCTATCAACAATTTTTGTGTTATTTATTGCTTTCTATCAATTTCAATTCAATCGAAAATTCAACATAGGTAGTTAAATCATGTGAATGAATCTGGACAACGTTTAATTTATGTAACTTGTTGCATAACTTAATTAAATTGTTAAATTCCGCATAGACACCTATTCACCCCCTCTAGGTGTTGGTTGGGTCGAACTATAGCCTTTTCAAGTGGTATCAGAGTCAAATCTCGAGTCCTGACCCATAGTTGTCTAGATGAGTCAATCACTTTCTGTACCTCCGTACTTTGACGGAAGTAATTATGCTTACTGGAAGGTTAGAATGCGTGCCTTTCTTAAGTCCTTAGATGAGCATGTTTGGTTGAGTGTGCAAAATGGCTGGAAACCTCCCTCCACTATCGTATCAGGAACTGTTAACCTTACTGATATATCACTGTGGACTAAGGATGAGATAGCTGAGTGTAATTGGAATAGCAAAGGACTTCATGCCTTGTTTATGGTCGTGTCTCCCGAAGAGTTTAGGAGAGTGTCAATGTGCGAAACTGCTAAAGAGGTGTGGGATATTCTTGAAACTACACATGAGGGAACTAAAACGGTAAAGAACTCGAAATTAAAAATGCTAGCTTCTAGGTTTGAAGAAGTGAGGATGAAAGATGACGAAACCTTTAATGAATTTTATGCAAAATTGAATGATATTGTTAATTCTAGTTTCAATTTAGGCGAGAAAATTCCCAAGTCTAAAATTGTTAGAAAAGTACTTAGGTCCTTGCCCGAGAGATTTAGGCCTAAAGTTACTGCCATTGAGGAAAGTAAGGATCTAGATGAGGTTAAAATTGAAGAACTTGTAGGATCCTTGCAAACTTATGAACTCACTATCACACAACCTAAGAAAGGAAAGTCCATTGCTTTAAAATCCATCAAAGAGGATGAATCTTCCGATACTGAGTCTCTGAGGGATGATGAAATTGCTTACTTTGTGAAGAAATTTCAAAAGGCTCTCAAGAATAGGAGAAAGCCTCAGGATAGAAAAAGTGGAGTCCCTAGCAGATTCTCAAAAGAAAAAACTGAAAGGTTTAACAATAAAAGTTCTAGTGATAAACCACGTTTGGTTAGGTGCCATGAATGTCAAGGTATAGGTCACTATAGGAATGAGTGCCCTAGTTATAAGAAGAATCAAAGAAAAGGGCAGAGTAAGGCCTTAGTTGTTTCACTTACTGATAACGAGTCTGAGACCAGTGACAGGCAGGAGTCATCTAGTAGTGAAGATGAAGGGAACTATATGGCATTTGTACCGACTATTAAGAGTGAATCTGATAAGGAGAGCGACAAGGTTGAGGAAGAACTTCACAACAATAGCTCTAGTAATGAGGATGAGGATGACATAGACATACATGAGGCCTATCAACTCTTGTTCAAGGAGAGTCTTAAAATCAAAAAGATCAATAAAGCCCTACTCAAAAAGGTTGATGAACTTGAAAGAGAAAAAGAGAGACATGCTAGTAATCTCCAAAATTAACTTAAGAGTGTCAGTGAGTTAAAATGTGTCAATGCGAAGTTGGAAGACAAGGTTAAGACTTTAACTAGTGAATTGGAGAAATCTAATGCTCATCTTCAGACTTTCATAAATGGAACTAAGAAATTGGATGATATTTTGGGAATGAATAAGCCTACGGGAGATAGGAAAGGTCTAGGATATGTTGAGGGTAATACACATGGTGCTGGTCCATCTAAAACTGTATTCATTTCTGCCTCTAGGAAGTCTAACGCTGTCAACAGTCCAAATAAGGGTAAGAATATTTCGAAGGAACAAAGTCACCAATCATGTAGAAATTTTATGCCCAAACACCTACAGACACGTACCTTTGAGCCTAGGTTCATTCCCACCTGTCACCACTGTGGAGCTCTAGGACACACTATGCCTAGATGTTATAAGCTAGGCAATGAGCGTAGAAATCAGAATATTCCAAGTCAGGTCAGTTTTCTGACTAATCAGGTCAGTCATTTGATTGAGATGCTTACTAAGCTGACTAGGAGTACCAAGTCATCTAAGAAAGCTTGGGTTAAAAAGGAGGATCTAGCTGGACTTTCAGGTCAGGTAAATTGCTATGTTGCTCATGTTGCATTAAAAGCCCAAGATTTCAATATGTGGTACCTTGATAGTGCTTGTTCTAGGTATATGTGTGATAACAAGGCTTTATTCACTACTCTTGATGAATGCAATGGGGGTATGGTTACCTTTGGAGATGGGGGCTCTGCACCTATTATTGGCAAAGGTACTGTACAAATACATGGATTACTTGTGATCTCAAATGTGCTTTATGTGGAAGGTTTAAAGTCGAACTTGTTAAGTGTTAGTCAGATTTATGATGCTGATTTTGAGGTTAGCTTTGTGGAAAAGAGATGTACTGTGTATGATTCATTCGGTGGGGTGGTCCTTGAAGGGGTTAAAACATCTGATAACTGTTATGGAGTCTTACCTAATTCTAACTATGTTTGTAGGAGTGCAAAAATTGATGTGAGTGAACTCTGGCATAAAAGATTGGGTTATTTAAACTATAAGAGTCTAGTATAACTGGCTAAAAAGGAGTTGGTAGATGGTTTGCCTAAAATAGGTCATAGTGAAAATGTTGTGTGTGGACCATGTCAACTGGGTAAACAAATTAAAGGAATCCATACAAAGACTTCTAAAATTTTGACCAAAAGACCCCTGGAATTGATACACATAGATTTATTGGGACCATCTAGGACTGAGAGTCTAGGAGGTAAGCGGTAGATTCTGGTTGTGGTAGATGATTTCTCGAGGTTCACATAGGTAGAATTGCTTAGGGAAAAATCTAATGCATGTGACCTTATAAAATCTTTGTGTAAACGGCTTAGTAATGAACTCAATCACAAAGTGTCTAGAATGCGAAGTGATCAT